AAAAAAAAAAAAAAAGTGAGAGAAGGGAAGTAAAACTTTTTAAATCCCCATTTTTTTTCAAGGATTACATTTTGTCAAACTTTAAAACTTTGCAAATTATCTTTGTTTCACTGCTAAAATTGTTCTTTCTTACTCAGTCATGAAAGGAGAATTTTGTAACACAGAATATCTACTGGTTTGGACCTAAACACTAAGAGAAAGTATAGTTTACAGCCTTACTAATATTCACATACCATTGGGTTTTGCCAAAAAGCTAAGCCTGACATGAGGACAAATATACGTTCCAGCCAAAAAATGAGAGGTGAGAGGTAACCTTGGTCTGATTGCACTGATTCTCAGTCCCACTCAAGATGGTGCAGTCACCCAAATCATAGAAGTCTGTTATAAACACATCCAGATGGACAGTGAGAAAATTCCCTCTATGTCACATGATAGCTTGGGTATCTATCCACACCTGGAGACAAGGCAGCAAGTTTAGAAGCCGTTGCCTCTCTATGTTTTTAAGTCTGGACATTTCCAATAGTTTTATGACAGCATAGATCTACCTCAGGGTCTCTGGGTGGTAGCAAGGTTCCTGGTAATCGGCAATGATCCTGGTAAAGCAAGCCAGTTGCTGCTCATATCAAATATATGTGGTTGGAATATCTGTTTAATGAAGCCTCATGAGATCATTTTAAAATTCTCAAAATGGATATCCAAACACTATTTATATTCTCCAGGGGACTGGAGGGGCCATAATCATGCTGAACTCTCCAGAGTCTACTTATACAGTAGAACTCAAAGGCTTTTTGGAAGGATTCAAAGGCTTCAGGGTTTTAATATATCACAAGCAGTAAATGGCAGCGGTGCTTCCCTCCCTAGTCTTGCTGTAACCTTCGCCCACCCCTTCCTGATGTACAAGGGTAATGACCGTCAAGCACTACTAAGGCCACAGCCTGACCTACCTTCAGCTTATGCTCCAACATCATATTGTGCTCTCTCAGATGCTTTTCTCTTCTCCTCGCCAGCTTCTCTGTCAGCTGGGCTATGTTTTCCTGGAGACTCCTCTGTCGTGCTTCCGTCTGCTGCTCCAGCTCCTGCAGTTTCTGTTTCAGCAGCTCCTGTTCCCTCTCAGCTGTCTCCCTCCTGGCCTGCTCCTCTGCCCCAAGAAGGTTTTAGAGAGGGATGAAAATAAGGTAAGGACTGATCTCTACCCTCCTGACCTCAGAGACCAAATAAAATTGGAAAGGGAGGTAGAAAATCTCTGAAATCCACCCCCCGTGTCCACACCACCAAGAGCACATTTCAGAATGTGATGGGAGAGGCTCTGTCTGGCTGACATCTAACCATGTCCAACCACAACTCCCCTTGCTGTTTTTGGATGTAGCAGAGCTATCCCACAGATGGAGAAGAGGCTCCTTCTTCCTTATCAGGAAGGTTTTGCTCTCACACCTGTCAGAGGGAACTGCGGGACTGCCAGAGCCCTACTCCGTACCTGCTACAGCCTTCTCCCCATCACTGAGGGCTTTATCTGCCTGCAGGATGGATTTCTCTATTGCCACCTGTGACAGCAGAAAGTTCTGGAGGACTTCGTTTGCCTGAGGAACCAAGAAGGAGCACAGAACTTAAAATTCCATTGAGGAGATTAGTGCTGCAAAAACAAGTATGTCCATGTAATTTTTGCTTCATGTTTAAAATTCTACAGTGGTTCACTACAACAAGCCTAAGCTCCTTACAGCGACCTGTCTTCCTCCAGTATCTAGCCCCGTGCTACTTCCTTCTACCCACTCCAGATTCCAGCCAGTCAGAACTATGTTCAGTTCTACAAACCCAGGATGTCTGGTGCTTTCCTATATTGCTCTTCCCAATGTGAAATACTGCCTCTAAAATGTGCTGCTGTTTTCCTCTGCTACTTGCTGTCTGTAACTTTAGGCAAGTTAGTTTAACTTGCTAAGCCTCTCCGTTCAGATCTTTAAAATGTTGACAATAAGCGTAGATGCTTCTTAATGTTATTTGAAGGATTAAAGAGTCTAGCGAAAGAGCTTAGCATTATGGCTATAGGCAATAACAGTTCAAAATATGTCAGCTGCATTCTCCTCTAGCTAGGATTTCAAGGGGTAACAGGAAAGTTTATACCTCCTTTTTTTGTTTGTTTTTTGTTTTTTTTGTTTTTTGTTTTTTGCGGTACATGGGCCTCTCACTGTTGTGGCCTCTCCCGTTGCGGAGCACAGGCTCCGGACGCTTAGGCTCAGCGGCCATGGCTCACGGGCCCAGCCGCTCCGCGACATGTGGGATCTTCCCGGACCGGGGCACGAACCCGTGTCCCCTGCATCGGCAGGCGGACTCCCCACCACCGCCACCAGGGAAGCCCTATACCTTCTTTTTGAAGAAATATAAGGGATTAAAAACACAGCCAAAGTGAAAACAAGATTAGGATGCAAATTTTATGCTTTCTAGTATTCTGATCCAACTCTTTGAACAGACTGATGTCATTTCTAGAAGCAATGAGCAATTTCATCATCTAATAGCAATTTCACATTCCATTTATTATCATTTTTAGTATTATACTTTATGTTTTCTTTGTCACTTGAGAAATGATAATACAAGCTTTCTTTACAAAATTGAGAAGATAGAGGATATAATGAAAAGTGTGTGTCCCTTCCATCACGAATGCCAAGCTGTTCTCCCCAGAAGGAACCAATGATACCACTTTCTAATGAATCTTCCAGAGGCGTTCTATGTGTACATATATATGAGTGCACATAAGAATTGCATTTTTTATGGTGAACAGATTATACAAACTGTTTTGTACCTCATTTTTTTCACTCTACTATATATCTTCAAGGTTGTTCTATATTTATACATATAAACCTCCACTATCAATCTTTTTACTGGCTACATAGTATTCCAGTATATGTACATGGAAAATGTATATTACCAGTTTATATAGATGGACATTTAAGTAGTTTCCAATCTTTTGCCATTAAAAGGGATGCCTCAACGGGCCTCTTGTATGTATGTATGTATATATACATATATATGATTTTGCACACATATATTTCCTAAAAGTGAACATGCTATATCAAAGTGTCCATGCATTTATTCTATCTAATGTGGGCCAGGCATTGATATTTTCTAGTAACCACTTTTTATATTTAAAGATTTGCTGAATGCAAGTGAAAAGCATTCACACCAAACATAGGCCAGAGCATGTACATATATTGTGTATCTATAATTTCTTTAAAAGAAGAGCTACTTCATTTTAAATAGGGAGTTCACACCACTCACAATATGACCAAGAAGTTTGCCTGGAGTGCACAATAGTGAAGAGATCTCTTTGTCAAATTCGTCCAAGGCTACTGCCAGCCAGGGAGTATCATCATCTTTAGCATTATCAATCATATTTTTCAAAAGATTTATCTCTGCATTCATCTCCTCAGATTTCTTTCTAAATCCTTCTTTAAGCAGAGCTTCCTGGACCTAAAAAAAAAAAAAAAAAAGTGAGAGAAGGGAAGTAAAACTTTTTAAATCCCCATTTTTTTTCA